AGGCAGGGTCTGGGCTCCCTCTGCTAGATGGGCCCTGAGATGGAGAGGACCCGATCAGCTCGAGCTTTATCCTCTTCCTCACAGTGGAGGGCAGTTACTGAGCACCTGCTCTGTGCCAGCCACTGCGATAAGTCCTCTATTTCACCCTCTCGACAATCCTAGGAGGCCAGCACCACCATTATTCTCTTTTTACGGGTGAGGAAAACTACAGCTCAGACAAGTAACTCATCCAGAGTCACGCAGGTAGTGACAAAAATGAATCTCAACCCCCAACATCATGACTCCAAAGTTCAGGAATCTGCCCTGCCTTTCCCTTAAGTAACCCCTGCCCCCTCAAAGGGCACCCAAGCCACTAACATAGGACTCCATGTTCCCAGGAAAAATGCAGAGGTGGCCCTGAGAGCACCTGCTCCTGCCCGTCTCACCCAGCTCTCTGCCAGCCAGCCCCACATGTCACTGTGAATCATGCCCAGCACATCCGTGGCTTTCCAGGGTTCGAGTGCCAGCTGTGCCTGCTGGGAATGTCACCCCTTGCCTCTGCCCAGCCCAATATCAGATCATGTGGCCACAGCCCCCCTGAGATCCTCTGTCCTGGAAGTGGGAGGTGTAGGGCCTGAGCGACCCCGTGGCTCCATCCCTGAACCCCACCCTTCATCTGCCCTGTCCCAGAGGTGGAGTGGCCAGGGGGACAGCACCTCCTGCTCTTTACCAGCAGCCCCAGAGGGAAGGGCCCTGGTTGGAAGCAGGACTGCAGGCCCACACCCCAAATGGGGCCAGCCTGACCTCCCCACACAGCCTGGCCAGGCACCCAGACCCCTGAGCACAAGCTAAGAGCACCCATCAGACAAACTCCTCTCCATTGCTACTGACTGCCAGCATGGCTCTTGGCCTCCACACACCACCCCTGACACTTTCCCTTGATCCCTCTGCCCCGAGGTTATGGGATTCTCCCTGCCTGGCAGATCAGGGGTGTCCCAGGTCCAGGTGTAAGCGTGGCCCTTCTGGCAGGCCTGGAAAGGTCACCTTGTCACCCCAGTCCCTGACCCTGCATGCCTCACAGGGGAAGGCATGAAGGGGCTGGAAGACACCCAGCCTTGGGCATGGGCGTAGGAGAAGCGAGAGCTTGGCGCCCCACCGGCTGGTGTTCCCACCATCACAGCAGGCCCGTGGGGCTGGGCAGCCATCGCTCCTCCGCCGTTGCTAAGGCAGCAGCCAGAAACCCTGGTTCAACCTGCTCTTTCTCCCCACCCCCATTTTAAGCAAGGGCACCCCTTTCTTTCACAGCTTTCTTGGAAAGGTAGCCCCCATCACCCACCCTTGCATGGGAGAAGGGCTCTTGCACCTCCTGTCTGGCTGTGGGTGGGGACACCCTTCACCCACAAGAGGGGTCCCACAGCCAGGAGAGGGAGGAAGGTTTGGGGCATTGGAATCCCACTTCCCACCAGGGACAAAAAGGGAAGGAAAAGGTCCCTGAGGCCGCTGGACTAGATCCACAAGGACAGGACTGTGCTTCTCCCATCAAGAGTGCAGACCCCTGATGGCGGTGGGCCCATCCCCTCAGCAATCTAAGGTTCTTCTCCTCTTAGACACCGACCGAGGACAGGACTCGGCTCTGGGCATGGCGGTTCAGGTTGGGGTTCAGATAGCGACCTACTCTGCAATACCCGCTGCCAGACCAGAGGGTTGAACCAACTCTTTAGCACTGGGCAGCCTCAGGCAGAGGTCAAGGCTGTCACCTGGGGCAGGGCTCATGCCCCTGCTGGTGGGGAATGAGAGGAACCAGAGTCTTTGCCGAGTGTCCTTAGGTTGGGTTTATCCTGCCCACAACTGGACATAAGACAGACTGAGCTACCATGGGAAGAAGGTATGAACACGCTGGGGCTCCTGGGCACCCAGTGGGGGGTAAGCCCTGGTGGGTGCTGCTGCCCTAAATTTCTGCTAGCCACCTCCACTGTCTCCACCAGGACAGCCTCTCTGACCCATCTGTGGATGTCCCCCCTCCACATCCTGGCACTCAGGGACTCCCAGTGGCAGACTCAGCCAATCAATTACAGCCACAAATCCAAGCAGGGCAATCAAGCCCTACACACACATCAGAACCTCCCCGTTTGACTTGTGGATTTTCCCCAGGTCTGAATTATTCAAGGCTGCCTCCCCATCATCGTGCTAAACACAGCAGTTTGGAACCGGAACCTCACCCCAAGAGCCCAACTCCTCATCCACAGACACACACTTGGGGGAAAGACAGACCCATGTCCCTCCAACCAGGCTGGCAGGGGTCCAAGGACCCATCACCAACTCAGGCTCCCCGATGGCCCCCAGTGTCTGTGTCTCCTCATTCTCCCCCCTCCCCCATCTGCTCAGCTCAGCTTAGCTTTGTGAATCCCTGGGCTTGGGGAGCAAGGAGCAGGGCAGGTGCGGGGAGGGAGAAGTCAGGGGCCAGCCTGGTGTGAGGCATCCCTCGGTGTCCCTGCCCTCCCCTAATCAAGCAAGGTGTCTTCACAAGGATGGACCCCACACCACCCCATAGCTCCTCCAGTCTGCCCCCAGCCTTCTCTTGGTAGGGGACTGAAGCCAACATTTTCTGGAACTGTTAGGAGGTGACCCTTTGGGGCCATGCTGAGGATCCAGCACCTTTGGCCTAATGACTGGCTAGGGGAGGGGAAATGATGTCAAGGAGGTGGAGGGCCACCAACTGAGCCAGCACCCTCTGCGGCCTGCACCTCCATCGAGGCCCCACCCTCAGACCTGCAGAACTCGTCTGCACAGATGGGAAATGCATCTGGGAGAAGGCATAGCCTTGTTCGCCTGTCACTTAGCGTCCAGCAAGGGAAGGCTGACAGTAGGCAGGCCACCAGGCAATTAGTTAGAGAAGGGAGCCAGGACCAGGTCATGGGTGGTGGCGGGAGTGAGAATGAGCAACCCTCCCCTCCCTACTTCGACCTCATACAGGGTCTTGGGGACCCCTGAGTCTGCTCTGGAGCCCCCACCCCACTGAACATGTTGACTGTTTCCAGGCTGGCCTGAGCTGATGGTTCCCTCCCCAGTGGCCTATTCCCAGGGCCCCCCCTCCAATTCCCCAGGTAGGCAACAGTGGGAGGTGGTTCCAGATTTTGCTCCACCCCTAGCCAGGGCGACCCACCCGTCCTGACCCCACCCATCTTACTCCCTTCAGAGGCTTGGAAGGGACGCCCCAAGATAAAGACCCACAGGCACCCTGACTCTGGCATATGGTGGGGGAGAAACACAGATCCCTCCCGTGATCCGCCAACCCGACTCCCGCAGCCCAGGCACCCAACAAATCAGGACCCAACACCTCCAGCAGGTCTCCCACTCCCGGGAGATTGTAACCCTTTCATCTTTGACCTCAGACACAGAAAGGCAGATGTCCCAGACCCACGCCCTGTGGCTGGGCCTGCGTGCAGTGGGGAAGGGGGTGACCCGGGACCCCTGTGCGTGCCCCGCTCCCAACTTCCTCACAAGACACATCTGTTTAGACCTTTAGACCCAGGTGGGGTGGCGGTGTCTTAGGGAGGCAGACCGGGCGATTGCTGAAGAAAGTTTTGGGGGCAGAGTGCTAAGTCACTCTGAAAAAAAGCCACTGTCGCTCCCACCCCCTGGAGGGGGCAACCGCCGGACCGGGGATCTCCAAGCGGCACGAGTCCCCGGGGGCGGGGACGCGCGCCCAGCCCCTGCCCAGCCCCTGCCGCGCCCCTGCCGCCCCCCGCCCGCGGCCGGCGAGCCTCCGGGTCGCACTCACCAGGACGCGGCTGAACCGCTCCTCCAGCTCTCCCGCCGCGGGCATCGGCTGCTTGGGGGGCGCGGGCTGTTTGAGGGGCGGCGCGGCGGGACCGGCGGGCTGCTCGGCGCTGCCAGCCGCGTTGCCCATGGTGGTCCCCACCCAGCCGGCCAGGCGCCTCCAGCCTCGGAAATCCAGCTTTCCGGGGGACAGGGACGAGGCTCCTGGCCTGGGGATACGAGGGGGCAGAGGCTGGCGGCAGCAGCAGGGGTCTCGGCGGCGAGGGGCGCTCGACTCAGCGGCGCTCAGGGGCCGGGGCGCGGCGTCCCATCGGGGCGGCCCCGTCCGAGGAACCCGGCGGCGAGCTGCAGGGTGGGGGGAGGAAGTCAGGCTGCAGGCCGCCGGGGCCAGAGGGCTGGGCCGGGGGCAGGAAGCTGCGGCGCGGGCTCCCCCCTCGGCGATTTTCGAACTTCTGCTGTCGCTCCCCGTGCGCGCAAACCGCAGTTCGCCGCCGCCGCCGCCGCCGCGCACCCAGCCCCAGGGGGGCGGGCTGGAGGGAGGGAACGGGCGCTGGGCGCCGGCCGGGGGACCACCGCAGCCATGGCAGGCGGGGAGGGGGCTGCCGAGCCGCTTCACCTGCCGCAGAGGGGGCGGCCAGCGCCGCTTCACCTGCCGGAGCCGGAGGCCACCGAGGCGAGGCCGAGGCGGCGGCGCCCTCCGCGGCGCCTCCGGGTCCTAGAACCGCATTCTCCCGGTCGCCCGGGGCGAGGGATTGGCCGGGTCTGGGTGAAGGGGGTCACAGCCTGGGGGTCGGAGGGGCACCTCTCCTCCGCGCCTAGGATCTCAGCCACTGCGAGCACGGCTCGGAGACCCACGGTGGCGCAGCGTTGGCGCTCCAGGGCTGCGTCCCCCTCTCGGGTCCCCGACTGAGAAGGTGGGAACCCCCTTCCAGGCCCCCCACCTCTTATTTCTCTCCTCCCCTGCTTAGCCCAGAGACGAGCTGAGGACCGGGGGGAGCCATCTGCAAACAGGAACTCCTAGACAGGGTGGGGGGCGCCAACGCAGGCCAGCAGAGACCCCTGCCACCTGTCCCACCGTGCGCCTGTGCGGGGCATCCCTAGTGGCTTTAGAATGGGGGCACCTATGGAAGAGGTTAGCTGCGAGAAGCTGGACCCGCCAAGGTGGTCCCAAGGAGGAGTGGGGGGTTGCGGAAAGGAGGATGAGAGCCAGCTGCAAGGCTGAAAAAGGAGCCGGCACCGCAGAGGAGGGAAAAGGAATCGACGCTGTCACCGCTGGGGACCTAGGGTGGCCTCTCACCTTGGAGAATAACAATCTCTGATGTCTGCTAATGACAGAAATACTTCCAGAGCTCTTTGATTCATCCTGACAATGACCAGAGAAGGTAAGTATTGATAGCCTTATTTTAGAAATGGGGAAACTGAGGCTGAGAGTAGGTAAGTGAGCTGTCCAAGGGCACTCAGCTAATACGCGGCAGAAGCAGGCCTCCTCACTGTCTACCTCCAAAAACGACACTGGCTTGGAGTTGCTGTCCTGGCCCTCCACTGCCCATCTCAGGTAGGGTAGGAGAGTATGGGGGATAACCTAAGGGCTGGGACCCCATCTATAGCCTGAATTTGAGACTCTCAGTTGCTCCTCTCATTCCCCATTTAATGTGTGGGGATCCCCAGCTGGTCCCTCCCTACACTTCCAGGGCACTGAGGAGAGAGGGCCCGCTGAAGGAGCCCAGGTTAGCTCTAGGCCAGGTCAGGAGCCTAAGTGTCGCCTCCCCTGACAGCGTCCTTCTCCTTCTGCCCTCACATTCAGAGACACTGACAAGACTTGAAGCAAGAAACAGAAAGTTAACATCTCATCTGGAGGAAGACCCTGGAAGGAGCCAGCCCCTTCCCCCAGGCTGACCTGGTTTAAGCCTTTCTTCTGCCAAGGTCACCAGCAGCCCAGATGAGTGACAGATGTAATCACTGGTTTCATGGCCTGATCAGGGACCTCCAAGGTGAGTCAAAGCAGGATTCTCCTCGGGCATGCAGGGAAAACCATCCATTCCCTGCCCACTGCCATCTCTTCCCTGCCAGACAGACCAGAGCCTTGCCCTTGGGTCCTTGCCCTTGAGATTATCTAGGACCTCCTCCTCCTCTTCTTCTCCTTCTTTTCCTCCTCCCCTTCCTCTTCCTCCTCCTTCTTGTTCTCCTCCTTCTTCTGTCTCTATAAGATAACTGTTGTGGAAGACTTTTTTTTTTTTTTTAAGATAGTGTCTCTCTCTGTCACCCAGTCTGGAGTGTAGTGGCGCAATGTCAGCTCACTGCAACCTTCACCTTCCAGGTTCAAGCGATTCTCCTGCCTCAGCCTTATGAGTAGTGGGACCGCAGGCACCTGCCACCATGCCCAGCTAATTTTTGTGTTTTTAGTAGGGACTGAGTTTTGCTATGTTAGTCAAGCAGGTCTCAAACTTCTGGCCTCAAGTGATCCACCCACCTCGGCCTCCCAAAGTGCTGAGATTACAGGCATGAGCCACTGTGCTCAGCTTGGAAGACTTTTTATAATGAAAAACAAAATTTTTTTAAGAATGTATTTCCTGATTCCTCAATAACTGTCTCTTTCAATTGAACAATAAACCTTGACTTAGCACCAGCTGTGTTCCCATCACTGCGCTCAGTCCTGAGGATTCTGTAGCAGATGAGAAATGACCCTGTCCTTGGTCTGCTCGCAGCCTAGCAAGGGACAGACTTTCAACCTGTCTGGGAGTGTGGCTGCTTCAAGTCAGCCTATAGGACCAGCTGTTCGTGCTTCCTGTTGCCCAGAACTACTTCTGTAAGGGGGAAAGAGAAGGGTAGGAGCGTGTCCTGCAACTGGAAACCCAAGCCAGGCAGGGAGCCACCAAGGTAGTAGTTGCCAGCCTGTATCCACAATCCTTGGGACTCCTCACATTGTCAGCCACTCTTCACCCAAGGCCTGGTGGAAATAAAGCTGGACTAAGTAACACCTCTCCTGTGGAAGATTATTCTTTCTGCAAGCCGACGTTCATTCTCTCTCTGTCTCTCTCTCTCTCTCTCTCTCTCTCTCTCTCTCGCTGATCTGAACTGTAAGTTACAAAAAAAAGATAAATGAGAAGATGTAATCAATTATTACATAGTAAATTTCATTGGCTTGGCAGGAGATAGCTTTCCCATCTTGGCCCACAGAGGAGGAAATCCTAGAAGGGACTGAGGTGTGGGACCAACACATTAGTGGGTCTGTGCTACCCCCTACTGGTCACAGGTGGTATGACAGCCAAGACTGGTCAAGGCTTCCAGCAGCGATGGAGTCACCACAGCGGTGACATTTCTGGACTGTTGTCACCTTCAGTGGAGGGATTGTGCAGTCACTGGGGATATTCAGAACCCAGATGATTGAGAAGAATTTCCCAGGGATCTCTTCCCTCCCTTTTGCCATTACTCAGTAGGAGCCTCCTTAAAAAAGGAAAAGGGCAGGGTGTGATGGCTCATGCCTGTAATCTCAGCACTTTGGGAGGCCAAGGTGGGCGGATCACCTGAGGTCAGATCCTCTGAGGTCAGGAGTTCAAGACCCGCCTGGCCAACATGGCGAAACCCCTATCTCTACTAAAAATACAAAATATTACCCAGGCATGCTGGTGCGTGCCTGAAATCCCAGCTACTCGGGAGGCTAAGGCAGGAGAATCACTTGAACCCAGGAGCCAGAGGTTGCAGTGAGCCAAGATTGCACCATTGCACTCCAGCCTGGGCAACAAAGCAAGACTCTGTCTAAATAAAAGAAAAAGGGAAAAGGGACTGAGTGCAGTGACTCACACCTGTAATCCCAGCTCTTTGGGAAGGTGAAGAGGAAGGATCACTAGAACCCAGGAGTTCAAGACCAGCCTGGGCAACATGGCAAGATCCCATCTCTACAAAAAATACAAAAAAAAAGCTGGGCATGCTAGTGCGCACCTGCAGTGCCAGCTACTGGAGAGGCTGAGGTGGGAAGATTGTTTGAGCCTGGAAGGTCAGGGCTGCAGAGAGCAAAGAATCACATCACTGCATCCAGCCTGGGCAACAGAGCAAGATCCTGACACACACACACACACACACACACACACACACACACGGTTATTACACAGTTCAAAAATGAAGCAAAGCCCAAAAGCATGTGCAAAGAAAGTAAAGTCTCTCCTGGCCGGGTGCCACACCTGTAACCTCAGCACTGTGGGAGGCTGAGGTGGGTGGATCATTTGAGGTCAGCAGTCCGAGACCAGCCTGGCCCACATGGTGAAACCAAGTCTCTACTAAAAATACAAAAATTAGCTGGGCATAGTGGCGGGCACCTGTAATCCCAGCTACTCGAGAGGCTGAGGCAGGAGAATCGCTTGAACCCAAGAGGCAGAGGTTGCTGTAAGCTGAGATCACACCACTGCACTCCAAACTGGGCAAAAGAGCAAGACTGTCAAGAAAAAAAGAGAGAGACAGAGAGAGAGAGAGGGATCTCCTGAGGCAACTACTCTTAATAGTTTGTTTGTTTTTACAATCCTCTTTTTTTTTTTTTTTTTTTTTTTTTGAGATGGAATCTCGCTCTGTCCTCCAGGCTGGAGTGCAAAGGCAATTCTGGCTCAGCCTCCCAAGTAGCTGGGATTATAGGTACCTGCCACCATGCCCAGCTATTTTTTTTTTTTTTTTGAGACAGAGTCTCACTCTGTTGCCCAGGCTGGAGTGCAGTGGTGCAATCTTGACTCACTGCGACCTCCACCTCCCAGGTTCAACCAATTCTCCTGCCTTAGCCTCCCAAGTAGCGGGGACTACAGGCACCCACCACCACGCCCAGCTAATTTTTGTATTTTTAGTAGAGATAGGGTTTTGCCATGTTGGCCAGGCTGGTCTTGAACTCCTGACCTCAAGTGATCCACCCGTCTCAGCCTCCCAAAGTGCTGGGATTACAGGCATGAGTCACCATGCCTGTATTTTAACGTGTCTTTGCAGAGATATTTGGAGCATATGCTGGGTGTGTCCGTGTGTGTGTGTGTGTGTGTGTTTGACACAAATGATAGCTACACTCTACACTGTTCAGCACCTGCTATTTTCATGTAATAATGTATCTGCCGGTAGATAGTCGACATAGTCTTCCACCATACAGTGTGGCACAATTAACTCACCATTCCCCTCCTAGTAGATATTTAGGTGTGTCTGCCTTTTATTACTACAAACAATGCTAATTGCAGGAAATATCTTGGTACATGTATTTGTAGACATATGTGTGTGTGTAAAATAATTTTTTTTTAGATGGAGTCTCGATCTGTCGCCCAGGCTGGAGTGCAAAGGTACGATCTCGGCTCACTGCAACCTCCGCCTCCCGGGTTCAAGCGATTATAGGCGTGAGCCACCGCATCCAGCCAAATAAATTTGTAAGTATGACAATTCTGGGTCAAAGATTATGTGCTCACAAATTTTTTATAGATATTTTTCACACAATTGCCCTCCGAAAATTGTGTACCAATTTACAACCCCCAACAACGGATGAGATCACCTGTTTCCCCAAACCCTCACAAGCATGTTATTATCAGGCCTTTTGATCTTAGGTGATGACTCTTTAAAAGTCTTGGGTGCAGAGCAGGTGATGATCTGTCTTTTTGTTTGGGCAGCAGGTTCCTCCAAGGCAGGGGCTGTGTCTTTCTCATCCCTACATCCCCAGTGCAGGATGTGGCACTATCCTTGGTAATTACTCAAGAACTATTTGCTGATTATCGAGTGAAAGAAACAGAGCTGCATTTTGGCCGGCCCAGAGGGAGGGGGTCAAAGGTTAGATTTGACTCCCTCTTTAGGGCCTGCTCTTGAGGGCCACTGTCTTTTCCAGACCCTGGTCAAGCCTGTGCCCCAAACCCCCAAAAGCCCTCCTCTTGCAGGAGCCTCCCAGGTTGCAAGGTCTGACATTGAAGGTCCAAAACTCCCTGACCAGCTTTCACCCAGCTCTGCTGCATTCCAGGCACAGACCCCATCATCCCCAAGCTGCCTGACAACTGGAAAAAAACTAGGTGTTGAGCTTTAGGGGATCAATTAAAACACTGTCCAGTAAAACACTATCTGCAATGATGAAAATGTTCTCATTCTGCGCTGTCCAGTATGGCAGCCACTGGCCACTCATAGCTACTAAGAACTCAGGCTGTAGCTAGTTCAACCAGGGAAATGAATAAATTTTACTTAATTTGGCTGGGTGTGGTGGCTCATGCCTGTAATCCCAGCACTTTGGGAGGCCGAGGTGGGTGGATCACAAGGTCAGGAGTTCAAGACCAGCCTGGCCAAGATTGTGAAACCCCATCTCTACTAAAAATACAAAAATTAGCCAGGCATGGTGGCAGGTGCCTGTAATCCCAGCTACTCAGGAGACCGAGGCAGAGAATTGCTTGAACCCAAGAGGCAGAGGTTGCAGTGAGCTGAGATTGTGCCATTGCACTCCAGCCTGGGCGACAGAGTAAGGCTCCATCTAAAAAAAAAAAGAAAAGAAAAGAAAAGAAAAAAATTAGCTATATATGGTGACATGTTCCTATAGTCCTGCTTGATAAACTGAGGTAGGAAGGTTGCTTGAGCTGGAGAAGTCAAGGCTGCACAGAGCTAAGATCACACCACTGCACTCCTGCCTGTGTGTCACAGAGAGACTCTGTTTTGAAAATAAATAAATAAAAAGGTGGCTGGGCACATGGCTCACACCTGTAATCCCAGCACTTTGGGAGACCAAGGCAGGCAGATCACTTGAAGCCATGAGTTCGAGACCAGCCTGGTCAACAAGGTAAAACCCTGTCTCTACTAAAAATACAAAAATTAGCTGGCTGTGGTGGCACGCACCTGTAGTCCCAGCTACTAGGGAGGCTGAGGCAGAAGAGTCACTTGAACCCAGGAGGCAGAGGTTGCAGTGAGCCAAAATTGCACCACTGCACTCCAGCCTGGGCAACAGAGTGAGACTTCCTCTCAAAAAAAAAAAAGAAGGTAAATTAAAATAAAAGCTAATTGCTTGGTAGCTAACCATGGAGGGCTGCTCTTTCCTTCTTCTTGGCAACTTGTGATAGTCACTACGCTATTCTTTCTATGTAACTCACTAGAGGACAGCCCCAGTGAACAAACCAGCAAACACTGCAAGAACCACGCCCCAATGACACAGGGTCCCAAATCCAGCCATGCATCACAATCAGAATTTTCAGGAAGCACAGTCAGGGATCTGTGTCTTTTAAAGTCCTCTAGGTAGCTCAGGCAGCTACTGATCTGTCCTTGTCGATGCTTCCCAGTGAAGAGAGGACAAGCTCCATGTCCCAGGTACATACCCATCTCTACAAAAAAAATACTTAAAATTAGCTGTATATAGTAGTACCCACCTGTAGTCCCAGCTACTCAGGAGGCCGAGGTGGGAGGATCACTTGGGCCCAGTGAGCAGAGGCTGCAAGGAGCCAAGATCATGCTGCCACACTCCAGCCTGGATGACAGAGCAAGACCTTGTCTCAAAAAAATTTTTTAAAAGAAAGAAGGCTGGAGGCGGTGGCTCATGCCTGTAATCCCAGCACTTTGGGAAGCCAAGGCGGGCCGAGGTCGGGAGTTGGAGACCAGCCTGAACAACATGGAGAAACCTCATCTCTACTAGAAATACAAAATTAGGCGGGTGCGGTGGTGCATGCTTGTAATCCCAGCTACTCTGGTGGCTGAAACAGGAGAATTGCTTGGACCCGGTAGGCGGAGGTTGCGGTGAGCCGAGATCGCACCATTGCACTCCAGCCTGGGCAACAAGAGCGACACTCTGTAGAAAGCAAAGCAAAAAAAAGCAAAGAAAGAAAGAGAGAGAGAGAGGAAGGGGCTGGGTGTGGTGGCTCACGCCTGTAATCCAACACTGGGAGGCCGAAGTGGGTGGATCACTTGAGGTCAGGAGTTCAAGACCAGCCTGGCCAAGATGGTGAAACCCTATCTCTACTAAAAATACAAAAATTAGCCAGGCATGCATGGTGGCGGATGCCTATAATCTCGGATACTGGGGAGGCTGAGGCAGGGAATCACTTGAACCCAGGAGTCGGAGGTTGCAGTGAGCCGAGATCAGGCCACTCTCAAAAGAAAAAGGAAGGAAGGAAGGAAGGAAGGGTCAAGGAAGCCCAAAAGGTGATATTCTTGGGTAGTAATGGAAAAATCATCCACCCTTCAGAGAGTGATGGTAGGGATACTTGCTTACCTCAATCTCTCAATAAGATATATCCATTCTACAGTTGTATATACCTAATAACATAGCTTCAAAAATCATAAAACAGAAATGGTAGGAAAAATAGACAAATCTACCAGTGGAAGATTTAAATCAGTTCCCTCTGGAATTGGTACATCAAGCAGACAAAAAATTCAGTAAAGATTTAAAAGATTTGAGCAATGCAATCAGCAAGCATAATCTAATAGAATATTTTAAATACTCCAGCTCAAACAGTTTGTGAACACACTTTTATTTTCAGACACACATGGACCATTTACAAAAATGACCACATATCAGGTCATAAAGCAGTCTCCATCAGCTCAAAAAATCATATAGACCACATTCTCTAACAGCAATATAATTAAATTAGAAATCAACAATATTTAAAAGTAACCCTGGCTGGGCACAGTGTCTCACACCTGCAACCCCAGCACTTCGGGAGACTGAGGTGGGCAGATAGCTTGTGGTCAGGAGTTCGAGACCAGCCTGGCCAACATAGCGAAACTCCATCTCTACCAAAACTACCAAAATTGGCTGGGTGTGGTGACAGGCACCTGTAATCCCAGCTACTCAGGAGGCTGAGGCAGGAGAATCACTGGAAACTGGGAGGCAGAGGTTGTAGTGAGCTGAGACTGTGCCACTGCACTCCAACCTGGGTGACAAAGTGAGACTCCGTCTCAAAAAACAAACAAACAAACTAGGGCAGATGAGGCCCATCCAATCTGCAGCCAAATAGACTGCGACTTACAGATGCCCAGAGCTGCTGAGCTGAGAGGAGAGAGTGGACTAAGGGACCCCCTCCTAGAAAACCCAGGTCCATTATCAGGGCTAGGGGAGCAGAGCGTGGCATCTGACAGGTGTTTGATGAATGCTAACAGAAGGAACAATGATGGAAGACCCGCTGAACACTACGCGCTGGGCCTGTGAAAGGGTCTCGTGAGTTTCATCCTTGTGGCAATACATCCAGGTTGGGGTTACTAGTCCCATTACTTCATTAAGATGTGGAGACTGGGGCACTGAGCAGCTGAGTGACATATCCAAGGTCAAGAAAATGGCAGAGTCCTAGCCAGAGCAATCAGACAAGAGAACGAAATAAAGGGCATCCAAATTGGTAAACAGGAAGTCAAACTGTCGCTGTTCATCAATCATATTATTATATACCTAGAAACCCTAAAGATTCATCCAAAAAGCTTCTAGATTTAATAAACAAATTCAGTAAAGTTTCAGGATACAAGCTCAGTGTGCACCAATCAGTAGCACTGCTGTATACCAACAATGACCAAGCTGAGAATCAAATCAAGAACCCAACCTTTTTTACAATTGCTGCAAAAAATAATAACAAAATACTTAGGAATATACCTAACCAAGGAGGCGAAAGATCTTCATAAGGAAAGCTACAAAACACTGCTGAAATAAATCACAGATGACACAAACAATTGGAAACACATTTCATGCTCATGAATGGTTAGAATCAATATTGTGAAAATGACTACACTGCCTAAAGGAATCCAAAAATTGAATGCAATTCCCATCAAAATACCATTGTCATTCTTCACAGAACTAGAAAAAATAATGCTAAAATTCATATGGAAACAAAAAAGAGCCTTCAGAGCCAAAGCAAATGCTAAGCAAAAAGAACCAATCTGGTGGCATCACATTACCTAACTTCAAACTATACTATAAGGCCATAGTCACCAAAACAGCATGGCACATAGACCAATGGAACAGAATAGAGAACCCAGAAATAGAGCCAAACACTTACAGCCAACTGATTTTTAACAATGCAAACAAAAACATAAAATGGGGAAAAAGACATCCTATTCAACAAACGGCTGGGATAATTGGCAAGCCACATGTAGAAGAATGAAATTGGATTCTCATCTCTCACCTTATACAAAAATCAGCTCAAGACGAATCAAACACTTAAATCTAAGATGTGAAACCATAAAAATGCTAGAAGATAACATTTGAAAAACTCTTCTAAACATTGGCTTCAGCCAAGACTTAATGACCAAGAACCCGAAAGCAAACACAACAAAAGAAAAGATAAATAGATGAGACAGCAAAAGAAATAATCAGCAGAGTAAATAGACAACCCATAGAGTGGGAGAAAATCTTCACAAACTATGCATCTGACAAAGGACACTTGTACACACATGTTTATAGCAGCACAATTCACAACTGCAAATATAT